TCTTCCGATTAAATTACACAAGAAAAATGCCTCTTATCAAGTCACACATGAAGAAATTCCTCACTCAAGTAACAATAGTTTTCAAATTACAAAACACTACATTCTCCTCCTTTTTTCCATCGGAAAATATCATTTACAACCAAAAAAAAATATGGAAGAAATATAGCAATTTCACTAATTTAACACTAGTTAACACCATAGAAAAATTTCACTAATTTATCACACCACACCATAGCATAGAAGGAATATGTACATAATGCATGTTAAAAATGTTCGAAGTGTTACAAGTTCTGTGCTCAACACTAATTTAACACCATACCATAGAAGGAATATGTACATAATACAGAAAATTTTCACTAATTTAACACCATACCAAAATTCATTACCACCATTCTTCTGCTCAACACTACAGAAAATTTTATGAAAATCCTGTCCCGAATTGCTTGCATATTATCATTCCTTCCATGTTTGATGAGGACACGTCATCTCCTTAAAAAAAAAAATAGTTCTTTGCTGATTTCTAACTTTATGGAATCATATCAATGTTAGTTGCAATAACCCCTCGATTCATAGATGCTAAAACCAGGTACTTGAAAATGTGACCCTTTATTCTCCATCATGGTTGTGTCAAAACGACTTCTCTTAAAACACTGAGATTCATCAATCACAGAGGGTACCTCACACTCGAATCCTTTAGCCATTTCCATCAACATGCCCTGCAACTCTTCCAAACCGTAATGCTTCCCCTGCAATATTTTTTGGTTGAAAACGGTCAGTGTTCTGTGTTCATTCTTTTTCACTTTCATCAAAATCCTTAACACCAACCACTATTCCATCAAATTATCATATCCTACTTTATCATACTTTATTCTAAATCCTACTATTTCATCAATTGCCTTCCTCTCTTTTCTCTAGGCGTTAAATAAGATTTGGTACCATCCAATTTCTTTCACTAGAGATTTTGTTAAGAAGCACTACCTCTGTCCTCACTTGAGCCATAAGAGACAACATTTCTTCCACAAAATCAGAAAAGCCCTGAAAGCAAAGAAACACAAAAAACCTTCAAGACCATGTTACACAAAGAAAAACAAATAAATAAAAGAAAACCAAAATTGAATCAACACAAAAGACGAGTATTGTAAAGAAATACTCACCTCATCCTCTTCCTCTTGAGGATCATACAAGCCCGCATCATAGATAGTCCTTTTCTTATGGTCAGACAACACTGCTCCAACAAAACGCAAAGAATATTAAGCAGCATAACTCAACATAACATCACAAAAGACACAATTCTTAGAACCAACATTACATTGGTACAAAGAAAACTGAACTCAAGCTAACATAAAGTTTAAAAAATATATACTTTCACTATGTATAATATATACTTTGTTTTAATCATATCATTAGTGAAAAATGAGATTTTAAAGAGTAAAGAAACAAACTAATGCAAGCAGTGGAAGCATACCTGAATAAGCTTCTTGAATTTGCTGGAATTTGCGTTTGGCCTCAGCCAACAAAGAAGGAGTTCTTGTCCACCTATCGGGATGCCATTGCAAAGCAAGTTTCCTATAAGCACGTTTTATCTCTTCCACATCAGAATCCGAACTAACACCAAGAACGTTATAGTAAGACATGGACCCTTCTCCACGAGCTTCCATTGTGACAATCAACTTCAACTCTAACCAACCATCAAAACCAAGTGGTTAATCAAGCCTTGCCCTTCACTTCATATATAGAATGTCACACCCAGTTGGCCCTATGCTATTGACAAAGAACGTGGAAATATTTAGAGGCCGAAGAGGGTATTTATCATTGGGGTCATGGGAATGAAAGGTCTAGAAGGTGAGAAAATATATATATGTGTGTGGATATACGTGGTGCGGTGTGATGGTGATTGGAGAGCCTGGAATGTTCGTGAAGAAATTGTAGCTAGAAATAGATATTTTTGGGTTCGTGATGGTTGCGTGGGACGTAGATATTTCCTTCCATGGAACATATACATGTGGTCGTGAGGGTGACGCCTAGATGAGATATTTTCGATTTGCATGCTGTGTTGTCGTTCTCAAACTTTTTCTTAATTCTACAATACATTATTTTTAATCTTCTATGTTATATAGAGAGTGAAGTAGTACTTTTTTATGGTTACTTTTCTTCGTCTTCTAGTTTTTTACGTTTGAAATTAAGAAAATCTATGCCGACATTAGTCGATATGAATAGTAATAATTTGTGTCTTAAAAATCTTGGATATTAAACGAGAAATACTCACTGCTTAATAAAAAGTTATTTTTAATTTAATTAGTTTCCAAACATATTTAAAGAACTATGTTGCTTTATTTTTTAAGTATCCGGTAGGTCTCCAAACTATTTAAAGAATCCCAACAAACATGTGGTAAAGGCCGGTTAAAAATAATCTACAAATTCAAGTACATGATTATAAATTTTTTTAAGTATAGGGATCTATTTAAAAATTCCTATAGAGTTCAAGACCTACGAATTAATTTAATTAAAATCAACCAATTAATAAAATATAAGGAGTACATTTTAATTTAATGTTTATTATTTTTATTTACTACAAGAAATATTATATATAATAACATATAAAAAGTGTCATTAATAGATATAATATAATTTTAATGTTGATTTTAAATGAAATTTAGTAACATTTATTATATGTCACTATAATATATATTTTATACTTTTATAATAATTATAAAAATATAATTAAATATAAAAATAACTTTTAGTGATAGATTTTATATCATAGATGTCACTTTATGATAATTTTTTTAATGTGATTTTATAAAATTATGTATTAAATTAATTGTATATAAATAAGCAAATTTTTTAATTCGTTATAGAAAGGGAGGATGATACATTGAATAATATGGAAGCCCGTATTCCACTAAATTTATATCTTTTAATGCTATAATAATATTATATCATTTGAGTGTCATTGTCTTTTAACTTTTCAGTCAAAACTCTAATTTTTCTTATGTAAGCAACTAATATTATCTTACCTTCACTAAAAAAAAAGAAAATTGTGTGTGATTTGTTTGGTTTAATATTATATTTTAGCATTTTTTTTTAAAATAGAAAATATTACAAAGATGATGATAATGGAAATTGAATCTAGATTTTCATAATTCTAACTACCCCAACTTCTCCATATTCAACTATTAGGCTAATCCTAGTTATTTATATTATATTTTAGCTTAATTGCACATTATGAAATTTTAATTCCTGTAAATAAGTACTTTTTTTTTTCTTTCTAAATGCTAAATACTTTATTACATTGTAACGAACAAGACACACGAAACTTTAAAAATCGAGGGAAATGTGGTAACAAATTTCAAGAACAAATGTGCAAAAATGAATTTGAGTGGTAAAATATATGAAATTTTGAAATTAAGGAAACAAAAAAAATGCAATTTATTGTCATGTATATTATCGCAACATCATTAAAATGCATTGTCGTCAATTTACATTAGTACACATTTCAGTGAAAAACAGTCAACAGACATGGTGGTAAAAATGTGCAATTTTTTTTTTTGAAGATCTAGTGACAATGGGTGACAAAATTTATAAAATTGTAAATACATGATGGAAAAAATGTACAATTATGTCTTATATTTTTATTTAATTGTCGTATTGTTTTTTGTGATTCGTTAACTATATACATATTCTTAAACAAGTCTTTATATATTTTTAAAAAATTTAATTAGGTCTATGAACTTATAAGTTATTTTTAATCAGGTTTCTAATTACATTTCCGTTAAGTATAGAACCTAATAATTGGAAATTTTTAAATAGTATAAACACTGAGCTGGCTACAAATTAGCAACTTGGTTTCTAAATTTTTTCAAAATTTCCTAATAGGTTATTAATTAAAATTTTAAAAAAATATTTGGATGCTCAAATAAAACTGATTTATAAGTTGAAGAATTTAACTGTAATTTTTTACTTTTTTAAAGTATCCAATAATAATTAATTTCCTTCAAAAATCATGAGCGAAATTGTAAAATTGCAAAATCCTCAAATAAATTAGTGACATAAACAAATTAATCAAATATATTCGTGCAAAAGTAATTGTTCTTGCTATCTTTTTCTTGTAGTGTGTTAGGTGGGACCACTACACCAAAAAAAAGTGGTAATAGGTTGGGGACCAATAATCCAATATCATGTCCCTGTTGGGGATGCTACTTTTCTTTTCCATGTTGGGATGATATTTTCATGAACGTGCAAAGGCGAACGAGATATTGGGCTTTTGAAGTTGGGTAGTGCAACAATGCGTATGTTTGGGCCCAAAATAGAATAGTGAGGAATCGAAAAGCCTTATTGGTTCACATTTTTAAGGAATTCAGAATCAATTGGTAATATCAAACACTAAATACACTGTATGTATTTCATTCGATTTATTTAAAAAATAATTATTATTCATTTTTTCTTATTTTTAAAGTGAGTTTTTTAAAATAAATAATACTAACTTTTTAAAAAATAATCGTTTTCAAACTGCACTTTTAGAATGCATTTAATCTTCCGTCATTTGAACGTTGTTTTTGTAATCTACACCGTATGTAGAAACCTATATGGTAGCTTCCTTCATAGTTAAAGTTGTCATAATAGAATAGAATTTCAAATTACAACTGCATGCAATTGCTAATATGGTTGCATTGCAATTATTAAAAAAGGGAAAAAACTGTTTGTAAACAGAGTTAACACAACCACAATTATGAGCATCGTGGTAGTTGTAACTTGTAAGTAGTATTATATATGGAAAAACATTACATGTGTGACTCTTAGGTTGTTGTTTTTGTGCAGCATTTTGCTTCATTCATTGTGTAAGAGCACTCAGCATTTCCTTCAAAATGGATACTGAATTGGCAGAGAATGGGTCTTGAAGTTGGAAAGTGCATTGAAGGATCTTCATTATCCTTCAATGGATATGGTGCACTTAGTTTTCAATGGTGCTCACTTTGTAGCACTTTTTTTTTTTTTTTTCTTCTAGTGACATGTAAATGACCTACTATCTAGTGTGATTGTGACCTTATCATGATGAATATTTCATGTGTTAATAAAACGTGTATATATTGATTAGATGAATTTCATTTTGACCATTAGTTGGATGGGTGGTGGTGGATAGAACTAGAAGAGTAGGCTCCCTTCTACATGGGCTAAAAATAAAATTATCAAGCTACACTTCCATTGTCATATATATATATATATATATATATATATGCCTAAAAGCATTTTTTTTTCATTTATTATCATAGTTACACAATTTTAGTCTTTATATTTTAATCGGACAATTTTTGAATTTTAAATATTTTAATTGTACAATTTTAATTTTTTAATTTTTAATTGAGTAATTTTAATTTTTAAAATATTGCAATTATCTAAGTTTAATCTCTTAATTACTATGATTATACAAATTTTTACATTTGTATGTTACATATATAAATAATTTTAATAATAATAAATATATATATCATTGGAGATCAAAATCATACAAACTAAAATTGTTTAGTTAGGATCTTAAGGGCCGAAATTGTATAGTTATAATATTAAAAAGATCAAAAACGTAATTAAATCTATTTAATGTTCTATCTAGATGTATTTATAGACAAAAATCTTAACTTCTTTTTTGACTAAAATATAAACAAATTTTATTGAAGTTAATTTTATTTAACTCTCTTAATCCAAAAATATCTCTATAGTAATAAATGATAACACTGTCTATTATGAATGTGGTTATATGAATGTGGTTAACGATATTTTAAGAAATGTAATATATATTTTATATAAAATTATAAAAATTAAATATATTTAATCAACTTTTTAATATATATAAAATTAATTTTATTTGTTTATATATAAATTTATAGGGAGTAATAAAAACCACTAGCGTGATCCAATGACTTTAAATAAGTATCAAGACCTTTGGTCTAGTTTTTCATTCCTTGTCACGGGTACAAATATACAACCTCAGCAGAAATATTTGTTTTTTCTCTAATCTTTAAAATATAAGGGAAAGAAGGTTATGATTCTTTGAAGTGAAAAATTAGGTTAAAAAAAATAGATTCATTATTTATTTGCTTAATTAAGAATGGATTCATTCTTCTTTTTTCACTTTATACACTCTTTTATTTTAAGGGAAGCAAATCTCAAAAGGAAAAAACTTTTTGTGTTGGTTTGTATGCATTGAATGTGAATTTATTGCTGTGTTGTTGAATAACACATGGGAAGGAATGGTCAAATCCTAAACATGTGATTCTCGGAATCTACCACTTGGGCAGAGAGAGAATTTTGGGTTTTTTTTTTTTTTCAACTCCTCTTTGCAGGTTAACATTCTAATTTTTATAATGTTTACACAAATTGTTTCGTAATAAATAAAAAATTATATATAGTATCCATGTAATTTGTTTAGGATCTTAAATTTGAACTTTGATGTGAGTGTAATTTTGATGGATAAAAAAATGATTTTTATAATAATAAAAAAAAGGAAACAAATGGTTTTCAATGTTCTCATTCGTGCGTTTGCACGTTTGCATCTTCCAAAAGTTGACCCAAATGTTGGGTGAGGCTTGGAAATGAATGAGCCCGATTAGGTTTAAAAATCAAACCACATTTTTTGTTTTCTTCAAATATAAAGTGGGGTTTAGTCAATAATGGAATGTATAGCCTTTTTTATTTATTTATTAAATGTATACCTTTTATTTTGCCTAGCTTGAAAAGGCAATATTATCAATGCACTAAAAATATTAGAGCAACTCCAATGCTCAAGTCTCGGTTTCTTACCATTGGAGGACTCTGACGTGGCAACATGAGTTGCTTGAAGAAGAGAGAGAGT